TTCCATTGTTTGTTCGGATCTTACAGCCAAGACTATCAAATTGTCCTATGGACAAAAGATTCTTCTTTAAGTCTTTCACATGTCGCACTTCTAAAATAGTATAAATTAAGCCATCATACATCTTCAATTTGATAGTGTCAATGCCAATAATCTCTAAAGCATGATTATCACCCACGAATATTTTGCCTCTAGAGATGGGTTTATATGTATGGAACCAATCTCAATTAAGAGTCATATGTCATGTTGCTTCTGAATTCATTAGCCAGACCTTAGTGAGCTATTCTCTATCTGTAGAGATTGTCGCTGCTTCACTATATAAAACATCTCCATATTCTGAGGTGCTCGCAACATATCCTTGAGATTTTGATGACTCTACAGTATTCTTTATACCCTTTTTAAACCAACAATCCTTTTTGAAATGCCCTTTTTTTAAACAATTGTAGCATTTCACAATCTTCTTACTTCTTGATTTGGACCTCCCCTACCTTTGACTCCTATTGGAGCCACGCTCCGTTGATCTTCCTCTTGACACCAACAACGCCTCTGCTTGGTTTGAACTATTTCTGTCTCCTTTGTTTTTGCGCCTATTTTCTTCTTCCAAGATAGCGGCTGCAACATCATCGAAGACTAAATAGTCTAAGAGGATATTATTTATCAAGTTAATAATAAGTTAATCATACGAATCAGGAAAACTTTGAAGTAGAAGCTCTGCACGTCCATTTTCCTCTATTTGCTGACCCAATGTAGTGAGTTGTGAAAATAGAGTTCTTATTGTGTTGATATGGTCAGTCACCGATGTGGTTTCTGCCATTCGAAGGGTATAAAGTCTCCGCTTTAAGAAAATATACAAAGACTTGGACTTGTATAGCTTTGTTAAAGTCTCTCATATCTCCTTAGCTATTTTCTTCTCCGCCACACTTGATAATACTTCATCGGCTAATACTAAATGTATGTTACTAATAGCATTATCATCCATCTCATTCCATTATGCATTATCAGTGATCTCCACGAGTCGATCCCCAATTGCTGCCAAGCAATTGTCTTTCCTTAAAATTGCCTTGATTCTCATTTTCCACAATGAGAAATTGCTCCCATTAAACCTATAAATCTCGTACTTTGCTGCCATTGTATTCACCAAAATCTATTCAGCTATCACCGTTTCACAGATCTGTAACGTATATAGAAATAGTATCGTGTGAATAATACTTCACTATAGTTCCCAGGAAAGATTGGAAAGGTCACAAATGGTCCCGCTTAAAACCCAATCTCCTTAGACAGAACTTCCTAGAAGGTATTTAATCACCGCACTGACTTTCTATATAGTAACGTATGTGAACAGTACCGTATGGATGAATAGTGCTGTATAGGTGAATAGTGTCATAGACGTGAATAGTAACCATATACACGAATAACTTTTGTGTATTAATAACACCAACCAGAAAGCTCTAATACCACTGTTAGGATACTTGCATGCAAACTCGACAAGATAAAAGGAAAGGAACAGGATAAAATGAGAAATAGGACACACAAGAATTTATGTGGTTTACCCAATTGGGCTACGTCCACAGGCAAGTATAGAAGGATTTTACTAAGTAATGTGGGAATACAACTTCTCTCTAATAATAGGAGAACAGCCAAAATCTCTCTATTACTAGGAGAAAACACCTCACTTACTATCTCACAAATACCTCATAATTTTGTGGGATTACTCTCCCCTCACCCTCTCTTCTTTCTCTCTACTTACTCTCAAGTTTCTCTCTTGTGGTGTATGTATAATGCTTGGATGCATTGCCTATTTATAGGCAAGCATCCATGCAAAAGCATCCATACAAAAAACAAGAGGTAGGGCAAGTAGCACCAATTTGGTGCCTATAATTTTTGACTAAGATGTAAAAGGATGGCTTCACCTTCTCCCACCATTATTGACTTAGGTGGCTGGTTTCACAAGATATTGGGCCATTAAATTAAATTAAATTATGAAAAAAAACCCTGCAAAAGGAAGGGAAGTTATTGTACCTCTAGGGACAAATCATTATTCATTGCTAAATGATTTGATGAAATTGTTGGTGTCTAAAAAAATAACTAGGTATTTAGGATTAAGGTGATATTTTAACCATAAAACAATTATTTTTAACAATTTATACATGGTTATGTTAGTTTTTTTTTTCTCTCACAATAAGATTATTGATTTGCCACTACAATTAAAAAAAATATATAATGCCTTTTCAATAAAGGGTGTTACGGTATTTGAAAATTTTTTAAAATAGTGAAATTATTTTATTATTTTTAAAAATAAAATTAATATAATTATCTTATAATTTTTTTTTTAAGATAAAGCATCCAGGTCGTGTAGCTACCAAACATTTACATTATTTAACATTTGACTTTGCTACCCACAAATGGTGATTTACAGTATAATATTTGGTCGATGTTGTCGCGAAAAAGAAAGAAGAGAAACAATTATTAGCAAAAAGAACAACAGAAAATAATAAACAATCATTAAGATGTGTAGTTAATTAGTGTGGCAGACATTATTATTTTTTTTTTCTTTTTATTAGGTGTTATTACAGGCCACGAAAATGTGTAATAAGAGACAACACGTCCCAATTATTTCACGTCGATGGGATTAAGACAAGAAAACGCTTAATGCAAATTGATCGGTTTCTCAATTATTACATTGTCGAGATGGTGCTCCTTTGTCTCATATCTCCCCACTTCGATGCTCTTTGTTGCATGCATGCCGCTATCTCCAAAGAAAACTGTTAGCAATAAAATCTAATAAATTTCAAATTAAGAATGTGTTTTGTATTATAATATTTTTATGGTTATAATATAAAAAAATAAGTTTAAAAAAATTATTTTCAGTTATAATTGTTTAATTAAAATACATATTTGATTAAAATTATAATTAAAATTATTGTTTCATAAAAAGTATGTCCAGGATATTTAATTAAAATAATGATTGAAATTGATGTGGGTTGTCATAATTTATTTTTGAGCCCCCGACAAATAATAAAATACAAAAAAAATTAAAAAACATTATAAAAAAATATAAACAGTGAAAAAACTGATGTCAGCACGCCCTAAAAATAGATAAAACTTGATTGAGGAGGTTAAATAAATTATTTTGAGTAAGTATAGGCAGGTCGCCTATAAAAATAGACCAGGATAAGTGTGAGTATAGGGCAGGTCACCCGTGAAAAACACACACAATCTTTAAGTTAGGTGGGGAACTAGCAATTTGTCCTAGGACAGGGTTCAGATGCGTAAAACACTCAACTCATAACTAAGTGTCTGCCTAGTAATGGTTGGTATAGCAGCCTTAACTATTTCTTGCAACGCCCCCGCACGTGTGCAGCGTCGCGGCGATCGTCCACCATCCATGAAAAGATGAAAATGTGGATGTGGCTCTGAAAAATATAGAGAGACAAAGAATTCTTATGTGTCTTATCAGTGAAAAATTGAAATGGGAGTCGCCCTTTGGTAATTTCCAATTTGGGTTTTAGCCGGAAAGTGTTGGGACTCGGGTTTTTTTATGTTGTCAATGTGGGATGGAGTATGGTAGATTCGCATGACGTGTAATGTCAAATATAATTCTAAAATACGTTCTGCTGCAAAAATACAGTGTGGGCTGGTTACTGTGCTGACGCACAGTAACCATCCCAATTGGGCCTAGGCTGGGACATCAGCCCAGAAAGGCTGGCCCAAGTCTGGCCTAGTTCATTTTTTAAAACAAAAAAATGAAAAATAATTATTTTAGAATTTTTATAATTTTTTCGCAAATTTTATGTAATTTTGATTAATGTTAGGTGATATCGTTATGTCGTAAAAATACAAATCCGGTATTAAAATACATGATTTGTGTCAAAACTGTCAAAAATACAAAAATATTGAAAAAACAATTGTGTATACAGCCAAGTGTGTCAAAGCTAAAAAAAATTATATTGTATTTTTCATACACCAAAAACAATATTTTAATATGCATTTTGGCTTTAATAACCATTTTATTAAAGTCAAGAGAATATTGCCCAAAATTTCAAAAAAAAAATATTTTGTTTGTTTCTTAATATCCAGGATATGACATTACACATAATGTGTATTCAAGATATTTAATTCATTTTTTTTTATATAATAAAACAGTTAGGTTTAACAACATTTTAAGATAATAACCTCCTTACTGAGGAAGGCTTGTCTTAAACGTTAAACAAACCAACATTTAAAAATAACAAAATAAGACTTTAGATTGGATTAAACAAAACAATGTAACCTATCTTAGATAGGGAGTATTTGGGGTAATAATATATTTCCTTAGCGTAACTAGTCTTTGTACCTGATCTCTGAGACCAGTTAGGGTTTCTAATAACCAGAATATTAGGTGGAAACTTTCATTCTAATTGTTCACTGATAAGAGACACAAGAATTTCTTATCTCTTCATATTTTACCAGAAATACACCACATCCATATTTATAATTTTTTCTGGAGGATAAACAATCGCCGCGATACCGCACACGTGCAACATAGATAATAAAATGATCTAAAAGTATATGTATTAATTTTTTTATTTTACAATTATATTAATATGTATTTTATTATTAACATATTGTAAAAATAACCATGCGAATTGCAACATCAATTTTATTGTTTTATTAAATTTACTGCAATGTCAACACAAACATAATCATTTCTAGTTTCTATAGGGTTGTGAACATGAAATCATACCAATTAAAAAAAATATATAAATAAAATCAAGATGCTATCAAATTATATAAATAATTGATGAGAATATATTTTTATAATTTACAAATATAAAAACTTTAGTATCGTAAAATTTTTAACTTATGCAAAAAGTGCCCGGCATTGATTTTTTGATTAGTTCAAAGGAGGGTGAAATTATTTTGGTCTGGGTAGTAAATTCAACAATAATAAAATACAACTCAATTGAAAGCAAAAGCATATAAAAGTAGCTTTTAAAAATCTGAGTTCAAAACTCATTTATTAGCGGGACCCAGAAATAGAAATATACAATTATTATTAAATAAAAATACAAATGCAAACGCATAGCCAAACAAACCTATATACAATACAATGTGTTATTTTTTTTAAATAATTTTGAAGATTTTTTATTTTAAATCAATTTTTTTATAATTTTTTATCATTTTAATATAATCATCAAACCAATCTTAACTTCAAGCTCTGAGCTTGAATTATTCTTTAACATGACTGACCACACATCACTCACAAGATGTGTTCATTTTTGCAGTAGAAATCTTATTTTATAAAAATTTTAAAAAAAATCTTGTTAAAATTAATTTTTAAAACTTTTTTAGATCATATTAATATATTAATATCAAAAATAATTTTTTAAAATAAAAAAATTATTATTTTAATATATATAAAAAAGAAATTTTAATTCAAAAATGATTTCCAAAAGACACCCTACATCATGATAATAACATGCATTAATAATTCAATATCAAATCACTGCTTAACTGTCTGTTTCATCAGTCCCAGAATCAAACGGGCCAGAATTGACCCCTAGTGGACCATACAGTAGTAACATGCACTCTACTCCACTCCACTATTATTTCCACCATGTCGTTACAAACACATGATGCTGCCTTATCTTACAGGACAAAAAAGAAACAAAAGAGGTTTGCTTCAAATAATGGGAAAGTAAGATTTACAAGAGAACGCATGGCAGTAAAAAAGAGTAAAAGCACCGCTACTGATACTACAAAAACTACCCTTACGAACTTACCGCACTCTTTTTTAACTTTTAAGCCGAGCCCTTTAATTTTATTACCGTCGACATGGACTTTAGAACCCAACACCAGCCGCGCCGACCCCAAGCGTAGCCGCTGCTCCATGAGGCTCGAGCTTCCTATTCATCCAGAAACAAGCCTCCGGGGCAAGCTTGGAAGCTGACCTCATTGGTTCAGACTTGCAGCGCGTCAGAACAAATGGATCGTATGCCATGGCTCCCACCAGCTTCTGCTCTATCATTGTGGACATGGACTCTGTCCCGGCTCCATGAGCCGGCGGCTTACCCGGATATGAACAAGAAGACCTAGCCGGCTGCTGCAGGTTGTTGTCGTTGTTGATGCTGTTACTATTATGCACCTGCGCAGGATTACTGTCGATGCTAGCTCTTTTCTTGGGCTCATCTTTACCGTCCGATTTATTGACTGGCCTTGAATGCTCTGGTAGCCATCTGATGAAATCCGTAGTGCAAACCCAAGTTTCTTTGGATACCTCCATTGACAGCTTGGGCTCACACATCATTGACAGCAGGCAATCTGGTAACAGTGGCTGACTACTATCTCTTTCCTTTGACTTCACACCCGTACCCGTTTGACCAGCTTCCTGGGTTTTTCGGTCTTCGGGTTCGGATCTTTCATGGGTCACTGTCTGTTCTTCCTCCTCTTGCTCGGTCTCTTTCTCTTCCTTTGACTCTTGTACTTGAAATTCAGCAACAGAACGTGGCTCTGGTTCTTGGTCCTGCAAGTCTTTGACAGCAACCTCTAAGCTTTCTTGTTCAAACTGTGCAGACACTGAATTCTCCTCAATGTCATCACTGAAGTCTACTACATGTTCTTGTTCTGCTTTGAGTGTTCTGCCTTCTTGATTATCCTCATTCTCTTGAACCATCTTGTTTTCATTTTCGTGATTTATCAAGGCCTCTGGATCTACAATTTCTTGATCGTGTGAAGACTGATCACTGCATAAACTAACAGTTTCTTGTGTTGTGGCTGTTGGCTGCAAGCTCATGACCTCATGAATTTCTGGTTCCTCTTCTTGCTTCACCAGATTCCCTTCTTGTAGAACCCCATCAATGTTCTCGCCTGTGCTTCTGACTTGTTGGCTATCTGCTCCACCTTCGCCTTCCAAAAGAGCCAAACCTCCTCCAGCTTCTTTAATATGCTGCTCTTCAACAGTTTCGAAAGAGACCAGATTTTCAGCCACAAACAAATCCTCCTTGTGCTCCCTAATAGCTTGCGCAACTTTTATCTGCTCTTCCCCTTCATGACCTGGCCCAACTTCTCTTTTATCTCCTACATTGATACGCTTTTCTTCTTCTACTCCCAAATTTCTATCCTTTTCATTATCTTCTTGCTCATCTTCTTCAACTTGTGGAGCAGGTGCTTCCCAAAACTTATTAGCTAGAGCAGCCATTTTAACAGGATCAGATCTACACCTCATCAACAACAAAGCATTCTTTGGTGGTATACAAATATTTACCCTTGCTTCTTCCTCTTCTTGCAAACCCTCATTTCCTCCAAATTTCTCATCTTTAAATTCAATCTCTTCGTAGACATGTCTCCTATAGCTCCTCCTCCTCTCATCTCTTTCCTCTTCGACTTCTTCTCCATCCATCAACTCTATCTCCCTCCCTTTCCCCCCTTCATCTTGCACTGCCACCAACCACCTAGCAAACACCGCCCCACACGAGCTACTGCCATTGTTATTAGATCCTGCTGCCGCTGCCTTCTCTTCTTTCTCTTTTTCACTTGCCGTGCATGAAGACCGGCAAGGTAAAAAGCAATTAAACTCAGCTCCAAAAGTTCTTAAAGCTTCACATATAGTCACAGGTAAATGCACCCATCTTGGATTCCTGGGTGACAAATCCTCTTGTTGCTGCTGCTGATTCAAGAACTGATTGTTAATCAAATCTTGATGATTATTGTTCCCTTCAAAAGCGTTGCTGTTTTGGTCTACTCTTCTAAAACTTATCTCCCCTCTCTTCTCTGATCTTGTTCTCAGTTTATTGCCTTGTTTCTTGGTCTTTACTCTCACTTGACCAATGCAAGTAACCTTTGGAGAAGAGGGTTAAGGATTTTCAAAAGCACAGCCACGTTTCTTGCCATTCGTTGGGAACATTGGTGAAGCATGGCCACCTTTCATGCTGCCATGGCTTCTTAGCCTTCTAATTGTGTTGTTGTTACCAGTGCTACTGTTATTGTTGCTGTTGCTTCGATGGAGTCTGTCTACAAATGTATCCATGTATTTTTGTTTCTTTCTTGTTGGTTTAGTAATCGATCATGGAGGAGAGGAGGGTAATACTGCAAGATTTTCAAGAGCGAGGGAGTTATTTTTATTGATTGGTTTTGTGAATGGAAATAAAGGAAACTCCGATGGGAAATAATTGTGTTCTTTGTTTGGTTGTATGATGTGTGGTTTGCACAGAGCTCGTACAGATAGGTGCAGGTGGATTGATGAAGTGAGAGTGACAGGGAAACAGAGAGGGAGGGGCAATAGAGGATTTATTAATTCAATGGAAATTTTTAAACAATAAAGTGCTCCTTGTCTCTAGCAATAGTAAATGCTAGATACTTAAACTTGCCTTTACATTTAAAAAACAGAAAAAAAAAACAAATTGTATATAAAGATTTTTTTACATGTTTTTGTAGATAAAAAAAAAGTACAATAAAAAATAAAAAAAATTATATATATATATATATAATTAAATAAATCAAGAACAAATTGTGTTAATAAATAAAAAAACATAAAAAATAATTTAAAAAATAAAAAATAAATTAAAATTAAAATATTTGATCTCTCAAATTCAGTTGTATTTGTTAAATTTTTTTATTAAAATAATTTTTTTATTCAAGCAAACGATAATAAAAATAAAAACATAAATTAAATTGATTGAATAAAATAAAAGAAGGAAAAACATTATGCAATGTTGCATATATTAAAAATATTATGTGAAACTAATTTTTTTATTTTCAAAAATAAAATTCATCTATATAAAAGATAAAAAAAATTATAGATAAATTATAAAAATCTTTAAAATTTAAATACATAACAAAAATAAATAATCATCATATAAAATAGGCTCTTTAAACAAAATAAAATAGAGAATAAATATTAATCTTAATATTAAAAAAATAGAGATAAAGACCATATAAAAAAAAAAGAATTAATTTAGAATAAGAGTTCAGGAAAAATATAAAGCAAAGGTCAGGCATTATTGTACCTAACAAGCCAACCCCCAACTTATTTTGTTAGGGCCTGCATGACAAGGCCTTTATATATTCTGCCCTAATTTTTTTTGAAAAAACAATTAGATAACACATCATCTAATTTTCTTAGATTTCAACTACTATGGTGGCGGGAAGATCGAGACTTACATTTTTAATCTAAAAATCTATTTTTAACCCAAAACACCAAAAAACAACTTGGTAACCATGATAAACATATTCATAGCCTTAAAAGAACCAAAAAATCATCTCAAAAAATGAAATCAAATATCAAACTAAGCTCAGATGTTTTTTTTTTCACAAACTTTAAAAAAAAAAAACACTTAATATAAACTCCTTTTATCAAATAGAATCATTTAACACAAATATCGACCATTTCGATAGCCTAAATCGGTAATAACAATATTTTTCTTTCTCTTAGCCAAAATCTAGCAATCTCTCTCGCTCTTTTCTCCATAAAAAATTAAAAAATAATAAAAATAAATTTTTGTACCAAAATTGAATTTGAAAAAAATTTAGGCATTAAAAGCATATAATTTGTGTTATTTTTAAAATTAAGGACTAAAATGTATATTTTTTAAAATTCCTAGCACACCACCCATGTTTAGTGACTTTTTTCATTTCGGTCCCTCCAACTCTACCATTAACTAAGAAATCAAAAGCAATTTATCTTAAATTATGATCAAATTTTCTAAAATAAAATTTTGGGAACTAAGATAAATTGTCAAGAAATGAACAATGTCATCTATGATATTTTTGTAAAGGGGTGAATAGTATCAATTGCAAAATATTTACCCTATATGCTTTTAGTTTTTAAGTTAATACAATTGACTAGTACTACTATGGGTAAGATATACATAGGATTATGGCTATAGGGTTCCTTTTTTATAACATAGTATGGCAATTTTACCCTTATTGGTTACATAGCTACGTTGATGTTTTTAGTTAAAAAAAATATCTAGAAATGGAGTCATACTCTATTTCTCATAAAAAAAAAAATAAAGTGTGTGTTCAAATACAATATTATTACAAATTGAAAAATATAATAAGTGTTTTTTATTATTATGTGGTAAAACTCTAGGTTGAAAAAACATTTAAAAGATGTTTTCTGAATTTTTCATCAATCTAAAAAACATGTTTCTCCTTTTTTTTTTAGTTTAATGAATTTATGAGTGAAAAAATGTGAAAGACTTTTTCAAATACAATATTTTTCACCCATTAGAAAAAAAGTTTCTTCCTTTTTTTGAGTTTAATGAATTTTTTAGGCAAAAATATCATTAGACTTTTCAACTAATTATAAATATATTTTACATGTATATTCTTTTTTCTTTCAATTTTTTGTCCTAACTTCTATTCTCTTGGCAACATTTTTATTCCTTACTAATCATTTCTCCTAGTTATGGACAGAAAAGTTTCTAAATATCTCTAAAAAAAGAGTTATAAAAAAGAGTTTTCATTAAATTCTTTCTTGTATAAGATAAAGGGTTTTCATTAAACTTTCCTTTATATAAGATAACCAGGAGTTTAAGATTGACAATATTGAATTCATGAAAATAGATAGTTGCCAAAGCTATCATAAAACTCCATAAAAAGTTTTTTTTTCTTGAAAATATGCTACTCACTTCTCATTTGGTATTCATTTAATACCTTGTAAATATGATGTAATACAAAAAAAATAAATCATGCGGCACATTCCTATCCTCAACCAAGACAATTGTTATCTTTAGATAGGCCTTCGATAGTTTCGTAGACATAAAACATATTAAATTTCTATATATCTAGTAAACAATAAAAACCATATGTTCACTCTTCAAAGGGGAAAACAAATTCTTTCTTCTCTCTCTTTAACAAGATATTATATTAAAGAGTACCTATTAGTAAATCTTTAAATTGACCTATACAAATTTATTTAGAGGCAAAAAGCTCTTTACTTTCTAGGTATAATCTTTATATTGAGTCCAAATCTTATCGATTGATAGTTTGCATCCCATACATAAATATGAAGATACTATTTAATTTTGTCAAGAAAAGAGACAAGACTGTCGATGGTTTTTTATTTGGCTTAGTGGGGATTTTAGATGATTAGATTGCATCAAAGATCCTTTAGCATTTTTATTTGTTGTTGAAGTGTTTTTTTAAGCTAGATAATGTAATTTGTAGTGGTAACACTAAGCCATATTAGGATGGACTTTTTTCACATGTTGAGGTTAACATAATCGTTTTGAAGTGAAAGTACCTCATTCTTTGAATAAATTCTTCTTTTATATAATTTCTTCTTGGTATGGACTAAGATTTTCTCCTACTATGCCTTTTAGAGCATTGCTAATTATTGACCAATGTATAACATGTTATTCGAAGTGAATATAAGAGTTATGCATATCTTGAAGATATCATTTCTAAGTTTAAAAGGGATAAGTGAGCCTTAGTTTTTATTTTCTTGAAATCTTTAGTTTTTTTTTTTTACAAAGAAGATTTGAGAATTTGTTGAAGAAGATGAAAAAATGAGTATTAATTGAAGAATTGATTAATTAATTACATCTTAATGTTATAGTTCTTTAATCTTTAGCATTGAGTTTAAAGTAAGAAAATGTTTCATTTTGAAATTTATTAATCAATTGGTATGTTATATAGTGAAATATGGTTGAGATTTTAGAAGAATAATGCTCAATTTTTTACATCATTCATTTATCTTAATAAAGGAATATAGAAGGGATTGTTATACAAAAAATAATATGTTTATATGTCATGTGAATAAAAACAATAGTTTTTCATTGTTAATTTGCAAATAAATAAGCGAAAAAAGCTTAAATAAACCATTGACTAAGATATCAGAATTCACACTAGTGGTTAATGATCAAATTCTATGTAGAACATAAGTCTTTAACAAGTTAAATAATAGATATTAAAGATTAATACAAATATATATATATATATATATATATATATATACATGCTAAAAGAATGCATATGAATAATAAAAAAATATAAATTATAATAGGATTGATATTATATAGTCTTTATATGTCATAAACTATTTGTACAGGATTAAAACTTTATATTTATATAAAATTTTACCTTTATAATATTATAAATAGGGTTTAACACCGTAAACTTTTTAATGCAATTTCTATTTTTATGATAATCATGTATGTGTAAATAAGGTATTATTTCGTATTCCTAGCCTTCTTTACACGGAGTCGCGCTTATTTATCACACATAATATAATTTTTATATTGTATTAATATCCACCATACAAGAGACTTTCTTTCATCAAAGTAAAAAATTATTTATTTTTTAATGAAATTTTTGCAGAATTTTCCTTGCACAAAAACTTTACATAAAATTTCATCTCATACTAAGAATACATACAAATACCAACAATAACCTAAACACAATAGCTTATGGAATCCATACTTACACGTAGGCTTATATATACCACTCAAAACAAAATCCTTAACTATTCCATCAAAATATAACTCCACACACGCAATAGATATTATTAAAGAACCATCTCAACTCAATAACTTAAGTTGTTAGGTGAGGTCACATGATATGATTTATATTATTCTCTAGCACACTCCCTCAAATGAAAGCACTTTGGGCTTGAAACTTACACAAACTCACATTATATTGTGCTTAATTTTTATCAAATAAATAGGGATAGTGAGATTTGAAATCGTGACCAATTGGTTATCAAGGATCTGATACCATGTCAAGAATAACAGAATAACTTGGGTTGTGCCTTAACCAACCTTTTCTATTTATATATATGTGGCAGAATACAACAATAATCATAGGGATTACAACATTGAAATAATCATACATTAATTTTTTATACAGATATATACATATTATACATTTTATAATATGTCCCCTTAAGCTGAAAGTGGAGGATGAACCCAAAGCTTGAACTTAAAAGCAGTAAA